TTGCCCCTCACTCCCTCCCTTACCTTTTCATTATGTTTCTTGTTAACGACAGCCTCGGACATATTCACTTGTCGTCTTGCCGCTTCAAGATATTTCGCTTTCTCCTTCATGCTCAGCTCATAATATCCCTCGCATCTCGCGCAGCCGGAGTCATGCAGACGAACACCACAATTCTCTTGCTTTTGTTTCCTTCCTTTGGTGGGAACACCTGCAGACGTTGCTTAATAATATTAAGGAAATACATTGTAGTGTTACAGTAGTGACATAGTGGTCAGGCATGTGTCTTTCATCTTTGTGACCTCGGGCTGGTTGTCGAAAAGCCGATTAGCTTAAGGTTACAGAACACCTTTGAGTGTTAATTTTGCCTAAAATTTTTTTTATTGGTTTCAATGAAAGCATTAGACTAGTTCTACTATCTGACCAAGTTTGAACGAAAAATGTTGAAAACTCGCAGAGTTATTTAGTAAAATACATTTCGCTGCAATAAGAAAAACATTGAAAATGTAATATTCAAATTCAATTTTCTCCCGAAAAATTTTACGGTAATTACTGATTTTCAAACGAGTTGTGCTCCTGCGGGTTTCAACCAATTTTTCTCAAATTTTGACAGAACATAGCTAAAGACGCCAGTTTCAAAATTGTGTTCGGCTTTGTTCTAATTTTGTATATTTTAATAATAAGGAGCAATTCACACGAACGATTCAGAAATATATTGCAGTCGTCAAAGAAATCGCCATATCAGCGGAATGACGAAATAAACAAAAATTTCCGAACACGATTTTTTAGAACAACTATTTTACTGTATAAAAATGATATTTTCATAAATATATCTTAAAACCAGCAGGAACATAACTCAAAAGCGTAAAGGTACCGCGACTTAAGATTTTCCTGAATAATTCTTACATTATTTTATTGTTTGTCAATTTTACAACTTTATCATATTTTACATGAACATTTGGTGAAAATGTGATGAAAATGTGATGAAAATCGGACCGATTTTGAGCGCGCAGTAGCGATTTTCCACAAAACGCCAAAAAGGGTGTCCTGTAACCTTAATTCTCAGTTGTCTGATAATTTCACCTCAGTCACATGTGAGAAGAGTGCTTCCAGTGTGACTCTAACAAACACCACAGCTATTCTCTGGTATTCCAGTTTTCTCTTGTAATAACATTGAACCATAAGAGATAGCCAGCCTTTCTGATCTTAGAGCAACAGTTATAGTGCAGAGAAGTATGCACTGGACGTGTTTTCTGCCAATGTGTTTCTGTCGCGACTGGGACAAGAATCATGCAGGATTCCCAACAGAATTTGGAGTAGGAATCATTTTGAAAGAAGTAGGCGGCAGTACTTTCGTGAAGTACAGAAGGTACCACCCCTGGGAGAGTGGGAGGAGGGTGGTCCGAGGACGTCTCTCTGCGAAGATTTTGAAATTGAAAACCCTCTGAAATGGCATTTCCGGCTATTTTGGAGAGTTAGATTTTGGAGGTTTTTGTCATTTTATTCAAATATTTAACAAAGACTGTTGTGTAGAATTTTTGTTAGAAAGCAAGAACCTTTTCCTTGATATTTTTGCGGTGAAGAGGAAATATTGTGGTTTGTAATTTCAAAAATAACCGGCGGTTGCCTAGGATATAGACGGCGAAAATCGCCGGATGGTGTCGGCTTCTATTGGAAACCCCCTGGGCTAAGTGAAAATATAAAAGGATACTTGGATGAAACGACCAATGCGCCTTCGCTACAGAATCTGAGCCAACTTGAAGTAAGTTTTCAAAGCCAATATTTAGATAACAAGCATCTTCATAGTCCAGACCCGACACCAAGAAATCATACACCAGTCTATCATCTTGCCAGTATGGTCTGAGTGCAAACTCAGGGGGGAGCTCAGGTTCAGCTAGAATTTCCTTAGGAACAGGCAGTACTTCACCCCCCTGCTTCACTTCAGGCGATTTAAAGTTTTCTACAGTCGAGTCCTCAGAAGTAGATTGCATCTTGGGAGGGATGTGTTTGTGTGGGGCTACGATACTGGATGCTTCGCTGAGTCCTTCGTCACCCCCCTCACTCAAACAATTTCCCATCCCCTCCTGTTTATTCACCGTTTCCTGACCGGATGTTGATTCACTTAGATCAGCAGATTTTGAATCAGGTGCTATATCCTTCGGTAACCAGAACGTTCCTTCTTTATCCTGTGATATCAAGTTCAAACCATTACTACTCTGCTCCAAGCCCCAAACTTCGTCATCAATCGTAGTAACGTCGACAGGACTCGCGGTAGGGGTAATTGAGGCATTTGAGGGTGTTCTAGAGATAGCAGGTGTTGACGATGGACTTTCAGGAGGTGTACCTGGGGGTGTCTGCGGTACTTTTCGTTCTACAGTAATTTTCAAAATTTAGTAATTTGCAAAAAATCAACATTTAGTAATTAGTACTTCATCCATACCTGCGATATCTTCCTCCTTCCCAGTCTCCTCCTCAGAATCGGATGTCCCCTGTGATCCCTGACTACCCTCCTCCCAATCACTATCATCTTCCCCAGACTCCTCTGATGCACTCTCCTCGCCACTCAGTGAACTTTCAGACTCACTCAGACTCGAGTAAATATTCGTGTATAGTGTCGAATCAACTATAACAAATATACAACAAAAGGTTTTTAGTAAATTTAAGTTATTAATACCACTATTAAAGTTTCTGTGATCACAGTAGGAATTCTGCATACAGTAGGTACATTCTAAAGCCCTGGGCAAACTAGGAAACATTGTTGCGGAAACATTTGTGATTCTCGATGTTTCCTCAAATGTTTCCATGTTTGCCCACCCGTGGAAACATTGTTGCGAAAACAAAATTTGCTTCCCGGGAAGCAAAAATGTTTCCTACAAATATCAGAAACATTTGATGTTTCCCTATGTTTCTCACTAATGTTTCCTAGTGTTTGCCCACTCTGGGAAACATGGCGAAACATTGGTAGGGAATAATGTTTACGCAACAATGTTTCCTAGTTTGCCCAGGGCATAAGTTTTGAAGGATTTGTAAGAAATGTTTGAGCAAACTAACTCAGTGTTAATATAGGGGTATTCAGTGTTAATTTAATATAGGGGTACTAAGGGTTGTAAAGCTACCTTCTGTTCGAACACTTGTTGCAGGTGGCTCATCTGTGACGTCATCATCCTGTTGCCATGGAGATCCTACGCTGACGTCATCACCCATATCATTACGAAGGCGTTTACTCGGCAAAGGACTATCCCCACGAAGTTTTCCGGAAACATCCGAATCGCTGTCGATTGTCGTTCGTTTTTGTCCTCGTTCAGGACTCAGCTCTGTTCGTTTCCGTTTTGCATACAAATCACTTCCGCTGGTGCTAGGTGGACGACGTTTACGAAACGAGGGCATCTTGGGAAGGGAGGCACGAAGTCCCATTCCCATCATTCCACCATGGCTCATGGTTGTGGAGAACGATGACGTCAGAGGTGACGTCAGAGATGATGTCAGAGGTGATGTCAGAGATGCCGTCAGAGGTGACGTCATATCCGGTGTCTGGGCTGTGGTTGTTGTTTGGTTTGTTGCAGCTGAAGGTGTTTCTGATTGTGTTGATTTCTTGAGCTAAATGAAAGAAAATATGCAAATTTTTCAATGCAGAACTTTCCCAGCCAATATTGCACGGCAAAATGGAGAATGACCGGTCTTACTTTATCGGACTGAAAATTTTGACGATTACATGGCCATGGGCACTTTCGATCTGAGTAATTACATGCCAAGAATTTCAGCCCAGGCTGAGTTTTCAGCCAGGATAGCTCGAACAGGGCAGAAATTTCAGCCCAGGCTGAAATTCTTGCCATGTAATCGCACACGGGATTTTATTGGGATTTATCGTTAAAGCCCGGGCTGAAATCGCTCCATGTAATCAGCCCCTTAGACTAACCTTCGATTTCTGTGCATTATCCCACCATCCATCCAAAGCTTTGAATGCAGAATTCTCCACCAATCTCTTGTTAACATCTTTCTTTAAAATAAGCGCCAGTTCCTCCGTGACTCTCTTCAAAACCTCTTCTGAGATCCTGATCTTCCAGTTTTTCCTGACTGGCGGTCTTTGCTCGTGGGGTGAGGGCATACACCCCGTAGGGAATGTCTGATAGACAGGGGGAGTGGGGACTCCATTCAGAGTTGAGACAAATTGAGGGGGGTAGGTAGTGTGGAAGGCAGAAGGGACTAAGGGGTGAGGTGGAGGTAAGGTGGCCATTGATAATGGGGGTATAGGTATACGATGAGGGACTATTGGTATCGCGGGGTAGGATGGTGGAGGAATACTAGGGTTATAAGGTGGCATAAAAGGTGGTGGTAGGACTGGAGGAGCATAGGTGGGTGTGAAGGTTGGAATAGGTGGGGGAACTGGTGGTACAGGCTTGGTGACCTCCAGGGTCTCTTCGTTAGAACTTATAGATGATAATGACATTGCATCATCGTTATCCTCAGATGATATTGCTTGTACCTTGTTATCAATAGATGCTTCTATCTGTACTGTGGTACTCGTGACTTCTGGTTGGTTAGGCAGTGGGTATACCTCAGGTTGGTTAGGAGGCGGGTACGACATTGGTTTGGGTTGGGTTGGTGATGATACAGGAGAGATGTCTTCAACCATTGGTAAATAATTATTGGTAGTATCTTGCAAACTATTATCCAGACTCTTCCCCACATCTGTAACTAGTCCTGACGGCTTCTCGGTCCGAGGAGATAAAGACTTTAGTGAAAGATTATCCACACCGGGTGACCTATGTCCACTGTTTGATTTCCCATTGTTCAGCTTCTTGTCAGAAGAGTTTAGTTTGTCTTTTTGTTGGGAATTCTCCTCAGATTTGCCAACTGCTTTCTCAGATTTCTTTGTGTCTCTTTTGTCTTTTTCAAGCACTCTTGGTGACCTGCCCCTGTCAAACTCTTTGCTTTCATAATCATGTCTACTCTTTGAGCTTTCTGCAAAGTATATGTAACAAATAAAATCAATATTAGAGATAATCACACAGGACAATAATAACAACAACAACAACAACATTTATTTGTGTCTATAAGCATTTTACATTTACAGTTTTTTTTTTATCACACTCAACAGAAAGATAATTGCAAGACACCGGTTGCTTAAATAACCACAATGGGCTAACTTAATAAGCAACCGTAAAATAGACAATTCCCATTATAGACTAATTTAAAACTAAGCAGGGGGGTGCAAATAAATCACCACAGCTAGAAAGAGCATACTAAAATGAGTAAAATTGCAAAGTTTGGTTGCGAAATGTTGTAAAATGCGGAAAATATAGCCTTGCAAAGTTTGCAAATTTTGTATATTTTGTATATATAATTTTGTGTTGCGTGCGGAAATTGCTACCATTTTCGGCCCAAATGTGGTAGCAATTTCCGCATGCAATACAAAAGTATACAAAAATTGCGAACTTTGCCAGGCTATATTTTCCGCATTTTACAACATTTCGCAACCAAACTTTGCAATTTTACTAATTTTAGCATGCTCTTTCCGGGAATACACTTTTTTTGCCAAGATAAAAAATTGGTCTATAATGGGAATTGTCTATTATTGTACCATTGTTTGCATCTATTAAAGGATAAACCGACTATTTTCACAGTGGTGGATCCAGACAAGTTTTTTGGGGGTACTGGGCGAGCAGCCAAGCACACGGAATCCAACACTGGCTAGCAGCGTACTGTCATGAAAGTGCACCTAGTGGTTTTGTGGTTACAATTTACAGATATGTTGAATAAATATAATTTAATAATTATATAAAATATAAATCCCCAATTCTCTTGATATCTGTGATTGTGTGAAAGACAAAATGGAAATTTTTCTTGAATATTTGATTGCTTTAATTTGTAACTTTTATTTTCACTATCAAATCCTTTTCAGCAAAATTGAGAATTTGCTTTATTTAATTTAATCAAACTAAAAAATATAAATATTGGACTTAGTATTTTGAACTAGTGCGATGGTGCTGCCTTGAATGCAAAAACTTAAGTTAGTCTAAGACGGATAACAAACTTTGAATAGCGGTACCTCAAACATTTCAAAGTAAGATTTTGTTTCATTTTTTGCACCCCCCCCCCTTTGCACTCCTGTTGACCAAGGGCATCTGACCAACACCCTATAAATCCACCACTGTGTTCTCACATATATTTTAGAATTAACAACACTCCTAATGGCTAACCTTTCAAGCTCTTGAAGCTTTTCTCACTACCGTAGCTGTCATCTGAGTCTCGACTTCGTCTGCTTTCAGAATCTCGGTATCTTCTGGGGTCACTCCTTTGATAACTGTCTCTGTCCTTATCCCTCGAGTAATAATCTCTGTGACTTGAATATCTCGAATCTCGTGAATCTCTTCCTCTGTCATCTGAAGAACGTCGGTACGAGCTGTGTTCAAAATGATCTCGACTCAAGTTACGATCTCGTCTTCTCCAATCAGACTCGTCGTCATGACGGCTACTTTTGTTGTACAAGTCCCTTGAACCTAAACAAGAAATGCATTAATTCGTGGCTTTCAGCAAGCATTACACAGCAGTAGATGGTGGACATCTTCCCAAGTGTTTTCAGTTGCATTGTACCCTAATGCACCTTACTTGGTTATTTTACTCTGTCTGACATCAGATGTTAACCCATTGACTGTCAGAGCTCGCCACTTGATGAGTAAAATATCTGGTGTTAGACAGAGTAATATAACAAAGCAAGGTAGATTGAGGTACCATGCAACCAAGTTAATTAATCAGACCATCTGCCCATGTATTTAGTTAACCCATTAAGTTGCATTGCGCCTACTTTATTATTTTGCTCTGTCTAACGCCAGACAATTTTACTGGTCAAGTGGAGAGCAATTGATGATTTCAGATTTTGCTCGGGGGGGATGCCAAAACATTTTTTTTGGGGGGGGGTGCCAAAAAGTTAGGGGGTCTGCCAAAAATTTAGGGGGTAGCGGTGAGTAGCGCTGCTGAGCAGGCTGCAGCAGCGTCTGCAGACACATTTGCCAATGGGGAAAATCCGTCTATGTCCAGTATATAGCAGAAAATCCATCTATGTCCAGCAGGGTGTTAGCCAGGATTCCAAAAGTGGCCGTCCAAAATAATTGTGTGGGCGTGGCAACACATTTTCATGGGCATGGTCACATGTTTTTGGGTGTGGCCACAATTTCCTGTTGTTGAGGAATTGTGGTGTTTTATTCGTTGAACCTTTTTACTTTTAGATGCACACTTCCATCATTAAATTAGTAAAAGCACACGTATGGTATGATCACTACCGTAACTGTAACGTGGCGCTTGAGCGATAAAGCGATTGCCGTTTTTTAAAACAGCGGTTTCACATTATTCTCCTTGATACTTCATGCGAGAATCATCAAAATGGTTACAAAAACATAGCGCGTTTTACAAAAATATGGCGCGAAGTATTCAAGAAATATTACAAAGCTTCCCTTAGGCCGTCCATTAAAATTTAGCTGTCCAAATTCAGAAGTGGCCGTCCATAGGACGGTCGGATGGCCACCTGGCTAACACCCTGATGCCAGTATATAGCAGCCTTCATACCAGGCCTCGAATTTCCCTGAAATCAATCGACGGCAATGGTGTCAAAAATTGCCATAGAACGCAACAGCTGTCTACGGCAATTTTGGCAGTTTCCACGGCATCTTTTTCAAATTAATAAAAAGTTAAGTTTATTGTTACTTTGGATTGTTGACAAGCTAGAAACATGTTTACATATTTCTTTAAGTGTTTTTTTTCCGAAGAAAACTGAGACTAAAATAGTACTTTACGCATGATTTGATGAACATCTGAATTCCAGTATCAAAATAGTAATGCACATTCAATGAATAGTATAAAAATTACACTATACGGCAAAAAATTGCCGTCATTGCCACAATGATCCACGACATTTTGTTCTCCCTCTACGGCAATTGCCGCGATAAAATTCAAGCCCTGCTTCATACAACAGATTCCAGAGGTATACAAGTTAATGTCACACACCTTTAGACAAGGATTTGGAATCTTTACTTTGATACCGATCTTGCTTTGTCGTGTTTGGTATTGGAGAGGGAGTCCGACATTTCTCTGGCAGGGGAGGCGGAGGTCCATCAGGAGGAGGGGGTGGGGGGAGAGGAAGTTTTTCCGAGGGGGGTGAGATTGGTTCAAACACTGGAACTTTATTTTGAGAGAGAGGTGTTGGCCACGGCAAGGGTGACTTACTTCGATGTTTGTCACAGCTTGCCGAGCTTGCACTGCTGTTTCGTCTCCGAGGGTCTACAAGCCCCAACGAGCCTGGGGTTGAGGGGGTGCTATTTGCTGGGGACGAGTTGGAGGGAGGTGGGGTAGGTATGACATGGTGGCTTGCAATACGTTCAATAGTAGGAGGGGTCTTATGGACTGGGTCTGAACCACGGCGAGGAGGTGCATGTGGCTTTTGGATGTGTTTCACTTCAACTAAGAACAAAAAATATTGACAATAAAATTATTTGTAAAACATTTTAAGCTATGTATAGGTAAAATATCATCGGGTTGAAAAATATAGGCGAGAGGGTTGCTGCATGCATGTATTAGGGATGAGCCAATTAATTGGTAAATAATCGGCAAAGCCGATTAATCGACCGTTTTTTAAGTAATTGGTAATCAGCCAATTATTGCGTGATAATCGGCAAATATTCGGCCATAAGACTTTTTCTGCAGCTGCCAAGCACATGCTAAAATACTGAATACAAGCGAATAGATTTTCACATTTTGTTGCAAAACCTGTGTCTTTTGTCTCGAGCGAAGTGAAGCTGGGAACATTTCCACTGAAAAACGCAGCAGACTAGCTCCGCATAGCTGACAATATCCTGTTTTTACCCCATAATCTGCCAAAACTAAACTTTGACTATTGACATGCAAGATTGAAGCTGTTTTCAATTGTACATAATGTGTATTGTAAACAATAAAACCGCATTTAGAACTTCATTGTTGGTCATCTTGTGATTTTTCGCTTGCTTTTTAAAATAATCGGCGGGTACCAATTAATCGGCCGATTAGTTACAAAAATCAGCTTAAGCCCGCCGCACACATAGTTAGCTCAGCAAGTTGCTCTTGTGTGCGGATAGTTTTTGTGAGGATTTGACCTCTCAAGGCCTTGAGGAAAATATCTATCGTGTTTGATATTTTTCACCTCGTGAGGAAAAAATCTCAGCATCTGCGGATGTTGTGAGCTAAATGCTGAGTTGTTTGAATCAATTAGCCAATGACAAACCATGGTTTCTTCATGTGACATGGAACAAAATGGAGGAAAATGCAAATAATTTTGTTAACTATGTTGTTGTTGAGTAGTTTTCCCAACGTGTGCAGTGAAAATACATAGCTGAGCTAGCTGCCACTCAAGGCGGTTAGCTCAGCAAGTTGCTCTCGTGTGCAGCGGGCTTTATAAATAATCGGCCTCAGTAATTGGCAATTTTCCTTATCGGCTCATCCCTAGCATGTTTTCTAGTAATGTTAGAGGTTTGCAGCAAAATTCAGTATCAAATTCAATTAATATTATATGTGGTGTTGCCTTGCACTAAAACGTCGACAAGACTCATAAAACATATAACAAACAATGGGAATTGTGTCCAGTGTCATTAATAGATCAGTGACGAAATCTACATCAAAACCTCGATCAAAACAATCAAAACATTTTTAAAATTTTCACCAAATCCACTACCTTTATGCTCAAAATCAGCATGAACAATACAGCCCATGATGGAAGTGCCATCGAGTTTGGCCAAAGCAAGCTTGGCACTGACGGATGTCGTGAAACCAACACGGGCTTTCCCCGTATGACGTTTTGTCACAGGGTCGTAAAAAATCTTCACTCCTTCGATATTTCCAAATTTCTCGCACATTTCCTGCAGGAATTTCCTATCCACATTATCATTGAGTCCATTGAGAATGACATCGCGTTGTGGAGGAATGCCGACGTAAAATTTATCGATCTGAAACGATATTAAATCACAACAGCATAAATTAAACATTCTCGCTTCGGGTGGGCGACATTCCCGCGTCTTATTGGCCGATCGTCAAGCACTGTTTAGACAATATTTGTTGATGAATGAAAACGTAATTTCTAAGATTTAGATCCGTATTTTAGTAAGTCATCGAGTTCCTTTTCCAAAATATACCTTAAATTTGGGCACGGGTAAATCAGCTTTAGTTCTTGTCGACCAAAGACGCGTCCGTCTTGACCGTGGGTCTTTAGGAATTATTGGCGTTTGCTAGAACAAAACAGCATAAAATTTAAGCACTGATACTAGGGGAAGTTTACGGCTATCCATAGTATCCAAAACACGGCTTACTCCGTCAAAATCCCCCTCAAATCTATAAATTTTTTGATGTCCTCTGCCTTTTAACATTGGATCAATGATAAGCTTATAATTTCTCTTTCTCTCGACTTCGTTTGGCCTGGATAGATGCTCTCCGTTTGGGACTACAAAGCAAAGAAGTATTTGAGTTAGACATTTTGAATGAGGGCTCAATAACACAGCATATATCCACACTAAAAGTTTACTAACTAGAGCTACGACCAAACGTGTGCTCATGTCCGCCATGAGCTCGTGCTATGTCGCCAATAACGTGTCTGTTGTACGCACTAGGGTCGTGAGACATAGCTTTGTTAGCTATCCATCTAGCGGCTTCAATAGCGGTGCCATTGTTTGTACTATTACAAGAGATGTAAGTGTTTAAAACTGCTTTATAATCTCTTCACTTGAACATCAGCGGCCATCTTGTTTTCGCATTCGTGCACACAATGAACACGCATGCTTTGCGGCCGCGTATCGATTATCCCGACGCGCCAAAATTTAATATGCGCGCTCTCAACCATTGAACTATAAATAAACTGGAAGGCTAACTGCTATGATGAAGGCCTATGATTTGATGAAGCCAAAACAGTTTTTCTGAGTTATGAGCAGAAATACTTGACCCCAAACGTCGGGCTATATATCAAATTGAAGCTATTGAAAATTGCTATTCGGTGTGGAAATTTCAAGACTTCAGCGAAAAGAAAAATATTTAAAAAATACAAAAACAACTGCAAAACGGCAAATTATCGGTAATTATGTTTGTAGTTTTTCAATATTTCCCTTTTAGCTAAAGTCTTGAAATTTTTACACCAAATAGAGTTTTTCAATAGCTTCAATTTGATATATAGCCCAACGTTCAGTGTTGAGTATTTCTGCTCATAACTCAGAAAAACTAAAATGCACTGGCTTCAATTTCCCCCCCTGAGTTATGCGCGAATCAAATCGAAACCTTGACATCCCCCCCCCGGGCATACCTGGGGAATTTGCTTGTTTAGTATTTTAAGAAGGCGGGAATTTGACCTTTTTTCTAGTGGAAGGTGGGGAATTTGAAGGGGGTCGGGAATTTGAATTTTTCTTTTAAACACGTGTGCAGAATCCAAAATGGCGTCAGTAATTAATGGATGAGTTCAAGGTCTTCAAGTGCAAAGGAATTAACTTTGTCCTTGGTTGGCTACAAGAAAACGGCTTTGAACGATTGAAGAGAGTTTTTGAAGGAAAGAAAAACTTCGAAATTCCAAAATTGCGAAATGCTGTAGCTTCCAATTCGTACATGGGGTGGGGTATTTGAACTCCAATTTTTCCCAATACGTGGTGTATTTGAACGGGAATTACAAATATATATAGGGAATTTGACCTGACCAAAACGTCAAAATCCAAATTCCCGGGGGTATGCCCGGGGGGGGGGATGTCAAGGTTTCGATTTGATTCGCGCATTAGCCTTCCAGTTTATTTATAGTTCAATCAAAGATTAGATACTATAAAGATGTGTCACTCTGCGAAAATTATGTCCGAGATTTTTTTATAGCCGCCATTTTGCCAGTAAGTGTCAAATTCGTCAAAATTCGTCATATAGCGCGAGCATCGCGATGGCAACCTATTGTATTCAGTCGCGCCGCCATTTTGGCAGTGAGTGTTATGCACTCGTCATCTCGCGTGATCACTCGTGATCAGCACGGAAAATTACGGACACGCAAACATTAGGGAAATACGTCGAGTGACACATCTTTATAGTATCTAATCTTTGGTTCAATGCTCTCAACTAGCCCGCGTGCAGGCCCAAGGGAACTGATATCAGTTCCCTTGGGCCTGCACGCGGGCTAGCTCTCAACTGATCGCAAAAACCAGGTAAAAACATAATATTGTTTTTCCAATGAAAATTTGATTGAATGTTTTAATTTCTAGCCACTTAGCATGAGGCTCTTTACCGTCCTTTGTATTGGATAAACACTCGCACGACAGAGTATGTCAGATAAATCATTTGTCCATCACGTGTCGTCTCGCGTGCTCTTCACGCAACGGTGGCGCAGGTCTCAATTTCGTGCTCATACAATTTCCTATACTAATACCATATAAATAATAGATATCTATTATTTCTGTGACTAATACCCACGTGCAAGGTTTCAACCAAAAAGCAACAAGCCCAGAAGCCTAGGTACCAGGTTGACCAAAAAGCTATACTGAGTTCGGTAGTGGTTAAAGGCTCTGTTTACACTATGTCGGATAGCTTTTCGTAGCGGCGCGAAAAAGCACCTATCCGATACGGAATGTACAACTTTCAGAAGCTGAGCGAAACAACATCTCTCCGTTGCAATAATTCCTCTGAAATTAGCGCTGTTACACTAAGCAACTTGCCTCGGAACTTGTGCCGCAATGTTAAGAAAAACGATTTCAGGATTGCATTGCAAAGGATGTTACACCAAGCAATATGTTCCATGCAACTTGCAATGATCAATATTAAAAATAGTATAAAAACCGCGAGTGCTAACGTTTGGCGCCAGATTGTCAGTCAAAAGCCAAGGAAGCCATTCAGTGCATAAGTATTGCGAGACCAGTTGCAAGAGGGATGTTATACACTGTGCAATTCTTTAAAAATGCGTTGCAGCGTTGCCGCAATCGGTGCAAAAAGTAGAACCTGATCTTACTTCGTGCAATGGTTGTTGCAACAAAAATATTGTGAGACTTGATGATTGCGAGGCATGATACACCTTGCAATTGCGCGTGCAACTTGTGTCGCAACAAAATTGCGAGGCACGTTGCAAGACAAATTGCATAGTGTAACAGCGCCTTAAAGGTGATCTACAGTCCGTATGTAAACAAAGCCTTTGTTTACATTTTTGTGTCCAAAATATTGAGCTTTATTCGACAACTATTTATAATTTCAAGATTCTAGAGTATAATAAATGATCAAGAAACAACAATCAGGCTTTTCAAGAACTCAAAACATAGTTAAACTGTTTGTATCATAAAAAGTGGGCTCATTTGTGCACATGCGCAGATCGGACTGTAGATCACCTTTAAAGGTACGGATAGGTGTTTTTCACGTCGCTACGGAAAGCTATCCCGTACAGTGTAAAAGTGGCCTGAAAAGCTAAACTTTAAAACTGTGTAAAAATTTAACCGCAAAGTTGTGTCGAGTAATGTGGCAAATTGAACTAGGATTTTTTAATGAGAAAGAAACATTACAACAATCGTCAATAGTTTAAAACATCTCAAGCACTCTTTAATAAACTACGTCGCTTTTTTAAAATTTTCTTCTTCGATCTTTTTACTCCCTCTTCTTCCGAGACCGGGGTTGCTCTAGGAAACAAAAGAATGAAAATGCCATCAAAATACTCGAATTATAGATAGCCCTATGAATTTTTAACTGTTTTTCCTTGAGGCCCAGTAAGGATCATCTCTTATTGATCCAGTGTTACTGTACACAGGAGCAAACCTGAACTAACTTTATATATACTGGATAGCTCTATCAGTTCTAACTGTTCTCCCTAGAGGTCCAGTAAGGATCATCCCTCATTGATCAAGTTTTATTACAGGAGGAAATTATAATTGCAGGAATGAAACCCTGATCACAATGAGATGAAAGACACATGAACTCACTACTATATGTCACCATTGATTTAGGATTATTTTTTATTAATGATCTTTCTCACGACGGCACTTACGATTTAGATTTTCGTTTTTTTCGTTTCTTCCCACTTTGCGCCAGGTTCTCCTTCTCCTGAGGTGACGTCACTATAGCCATTACATTTTCACCCTCACTCACTCCTTCTGTACCATCATCTGGCTGCATACCATCATCTCTACCATCATCTCTACCATTCTCAGGCTGGATACCATCATCTGTACCTTCATCTGAAGCCTCACCTGGCTGGACAGACTGACTAGGGACTACCTCGTTGTTATTTTTAGGTTCATAGTCAACGAAATCAAATTCAAACGTTGCTTCGTTTTCATTGTCGTCCAAATTGATATCGAAATCATCTTTCTGGTGAAACGAAATGAAATACATGCCAGAAATAAATCTATAGTACTCAATCTTTTCAATGTTGACATTGACTACATCTCTCAACACAACAACGGTAACTCCGAATAAAGAAAACATTTTTTATTCAACGTTTCGACATTATTTAGTCATCATCAGGAATGGATAATGTATTTAATGATTTAATTAATAATTTAATAAGATTTGGCTACTATTTAAATACACCATATAGAGCCAGGGAATTCGCCACAGGTTTCCCCAATTACGGCGATCCCATATAAACAAGAATTAAATTACTAAAACATAGTAATGCCAATATATACACTGTCATATAGTTTGTAATTTAATATCTACTAATAGAAAACCAATAGTTCTCGAGACGCTATCTGTATATATTGGCGCTACTATGTAACATCCATTCCTGATGATGACTAAATAAAGTCGAAACGTTGAATAAAAAAATGTTGCATGTCTTTATTCGGGGTTACAGTTGTTGTGTATTTCATGAAAATGCTCAGTGGTTCCCGCAATTAAATCTCTCAATTCTATTTACTTGCCTCCAAATACAAGACTACTGCATGTAATGAATCAAATTAACATTATTTTCTCACTCTGATAACTGCAGGTTGACCACCGTCTGCTGTACGATAATGCTTATGAAGTGAAACCCAGCTATTGAAGGGGACGGGACCTATGACGACATATTACCTCATCTTCGGACCCAGCTTCTTCGCGTTTCTCCAATAACGCACTAATCTGCGTCTTTAGCATTTTGTCACTTGTACTGCTTGTGAATTCTTCTTCCTAAAATATTGAAACTAAATAATGAAGATATATTTTACAATATTTTATCTCAATTTCTAAAATTTCAAAAACGTACTTGGCATCGCTCGAGAAGTTCTGAACTGCCTTGAGCGTCCACAAAAAATAACGGATCATTTGTTCCATTTTCGTCCATCTCGTCTTCTTCATTCTTTTGATCTAAATCTTCTGTCATCTGACTCCACTTCTCAGGAGAACTTGCCAGCTGCGAAAATAACAATCGTTAGTTTCCTTAGAGTGTTTTAGTTTGCTTGTTTAGCTTAAGACGTGGAATTTGCCTGTTATAGGGGACCTCTTGGGTGTGTGAGTTATACATGGACAAGATAAGGAATAAAGAGATCAGCTACAAAATACGGAGTGGTAGATATTGCAGAGATGGTGAGGGAAGCAAGGCTGGGATGGTACGGACATGTAATAAGAAGAGATGAAGGGGAGCTGGTCAAAGACATTAAGGCCCCAGTTACACGATACCGTATTCGTATCGGAGCGACATCAATTTAAGATGTTTTCCAGTCTTGTCTGCTCTAGCTTACAACTTTACATATTTGAAGGTTTTGTTTAATTATGTTATATTATCATAATTTTAAGTGTCAAATTCACCTCGAAGCAGTAAAATTTGATGTCACTCCGATGCGAATCCAGTATCGTGTAACTGGGGCTTAAGGAATGAAGAGATCAGAAGATCATGTGAGGTGGTAGACATTGCAGAGAAGGTGAGGGAAGCAAGGCTGAGATGGTTAATAAGAGATGAAGAAGAGCTGGTCAGATACATTATGGAATGAAGAGATCAGAAGATGTGAGGTGGTAGACATTACAGAGAAGGTGAGGGAAGCAAGGCTGACATGGTGAAGGAGAGCTGGTCAAAGATATTATGGAGCTGGAAATTAAAGGTAATGGAGAAAGGAGACTGAAGAAGTTGATTGCCCATTTAAAATAAAATGTAGTTATCAACAACCTGACGGCGAAAATGAGAAGAGAACGAATCTGGACAGCTGACAGGACTAAAGCTCATGGAGGATCAAGACTTACATCAAGCATTCTTTCGATGTTTTCCTCATCTTCACACTGTAAGATTTTACCCGTTATTTTCTGTCCAACTAAACCAGACAGCCCAAAGTCTTGGATTACACTGTGGATAAACGAATGAACAGGTGTGAGCTTCAGCAAAGATCAGTGGTAAAGATATATGTATACGCGCGCGATTTGCGGTATGGACGCGTTCCTTTCGCGGTGAGAACGCCTGCGCTTCGCGATGAGGACGAGTGTGACGTGCGGTCAGCATGGCGCAGTAACAACGCGGGCGACCAGCGGCAAGGATGTGATCCAGTATAATCATTAACTGCCAACCAAAGGTACCTGTTATCTACATCTGTTAACCAAGACAAAAGGTTTTCCGGTGGTGACAGAGAACATACACTCTAGATGAAAAAAATGTCTAGCTAAGTCGACAAGACACACTAAGGAGCTGAGTAACACGAAATGTTAAAACAGTTTCTTAACTTTGTCTAACAAGCCAGTCATCTAGGCTGCCATCAGGCCAGAAGTGCTTCAATACCTTTTTCAAAAACATAATTTCCTTCTCACGTGCACAATGTTGGACTTTCCACGCTAAACATACGTACCTAGACGCAAGTCGAAACAGCAATGGCAAAAGTATTAAATGCAGCAATATCTATATTTAATCCGACAGGGAACTACAAACCATGGATTCTATTCATGCCTATTATGTTGTTCGCTTTCTCAAAGAAATATTGGATATGAACAAATGTCAGGATTCTGGGGCATCTAGTTACACTCGATATTACTCACTGTAGAACGATTTTGTAGAATGATGCCAATTTTGTACTATTTAAAACACAAGCGAAAATAACCGAAAATAAGCCGCGGCCTGCATTCAATTTAGAAAAAGTTCGTTCATTTTGACCGGCTGTTGTTTAAACCGCGGCTTATTTAGGCCGCGACTTATTTTCGCTCGTATAAATGGCCCTATTTTAAAGAGATAAAGTTTCTTACTTGATATAATTTGCACATTCTGTAGTACATGTTCTTGTTGTTTCAAATACTTTTCTAAAATGAAAGTAATAGCATACTAAGTTAGCTTAAGTTGATCGTTTTTCATTCGTCATATAATACACAGATGACATTCAATTGCTTACCTCAGAAATGGAAAAACGATGTTGATAGTGTTACTATCTAGTGTAAAAATTTGGTTTACAGTGTCCAAAATATGACTTGGAGAGTCACCCAACAATAAATACACTATGTTAGAAATATGATTGTTCACATCTGCGTTTCTATAACAAGACAAGATAGGACAGAACTTCGTTAAATTTAGCTATACTATTTTCTCCCTATTCTATTCAAAGCTATTTCATTATTTGTTCCTCTATTCCTTCCTTCCTTGCCCTTCCTTGCTTGCCCTTCCGGCTTTACATGTCCTTCCTACTAGGTTGCTTCATTGAACTATAAATAAACTGGAAGGCTAACTGCTATGATGAAGGCCTATGATTTGATGAAGCCAAAATAGTTTTTCTGAGTTATGAGCAGAAATACTTGACCCCAAACGTCGGGCTATATATCAAATTGAAGCTATTGAAAATTGCTATTCGGTGTGGAAATTTCAAGACTTCAGCCAAAAGAAAAATATTTAAAAAATACAAAAACAACTGCAAAACGGCAAATTATCGGTAATTATGTTTGTAGTTTTTCAATATTTCCCTTTTAGGTAAAGTCTTGAAATTTCTACACCAAATAGCGTTTTTCAATAGCTTCAATTTGATATATAGCCGAACGTTCAGTGTTGAGTATTTCTGCTCATAACTCAGAAAAACTAAAATGCACTGGCTTCAATCCCCCCCCCCTTGAGTTAGCCTTCCAGTTTATTTATAGTTCAATGGGTTGCTTTCTTGCCCTTTCTCCTTCCTTGCTTGCTTTCTTGATCCTCCTTGTTTGTCAATCCTTGTTTATTCCTTCCTTGCCTTCTTGCTTGTCCTTCCTAGATTGATTTATTTCCCTCACTCTCTCTGGCCTCTGCCTTCCCCCATTCCTCCCTATCCTTCCTGTATCCTTTGCAATTCAAAACATAAACTAACATTTCACCAATGACAATGATCACATCAATATATATTGCTATAATAGCTGCCAAAATATCTCTGTATTCTGCCCACTCCTTTGACTTGATCTCATCCTAAAACAAATTAATAATTATGTTATTTCTCTCAAGGCATCAGCTTAGTGCACAAAGGTTACAAAGAAAGAACATTTGACTGCAAATGTATTAAACATTACCTTACAAGTTCCCTTCCCTTGTATTTTTCGTTTGATGTGACAATGTATCAAGAAACGGTGAATTATGTCTTTGAAATTCAACCAACTGAAGAATGATTGAAATAAAGAAATTTATGGGGGCAGGTTCCTAGTGTCAGATGAAATTCTTAAACTTCCTCTATGGATGGAACACTGCACCAATCATGTTTAAATATTCACCTTTCGTTTTCCTCGTTAGATGTCTTGAATTTGTCATTAATCTTGTCAATCTCGCTAAAAATATATCAAACAATAACAATGGCAAGTTCTTAATTTGTTGGTACTGAAAAACCTTTTCACATTACCTCAAGAAGACTCGCATAAGTCCATTTAACACCTGTATGGGAAAGAAACAGTGTTTTTAATCTTAATTTAGTATTTTACTTTTAGACAAATTACTTGTCAAGAGGCATGTCCTCAGATGTGAAAGAAAATAACTTTAACTCGATATGCTCTCATGATCTTACCTCGGAATTCTGGCAACCCACTGTGAGTCGACCATAGAGTTCTGTGACTTTACTTAAAACTTCATGTTGATGTTGATCAGGACAATCATTTTTCTAAATTCATGCATTCATAAATTATTTAGTTTAGAATACTTTTCATATCATTACAGAAACTAATATATAAATGTTGAAAAGTATGTATTCTGTAAAAATTAAAATCATACCTGTGCCGTCAAAAGTAATTCATATATTTTGTTACAAGGGTAACTCAATGCTGCTTGTGACACTAAATTTGAACAAGTGAAAAATCAAAGCTAATTGTGATGGAAAAAGCATAAAATGGCAGTTGCTAGCTACTTATGAAATTTAAACTTACAGTATTGTGTTTGTTCTTTATATGAGGGATGTTGTGAAATTTTATTCAGTGTTGCCTCTGAACCATCTTTGTTGAAAAAATTGAACTCAATTTCAACTGAACATTTCTTGACAGGCTTGATTAGACTAAGATTGAAGAAAACTTGATTAAATTGATACTGGCAATCAATTAATATGTTAATTAATTAATTAATTAATTAATTAATTAATTGGCTAGTTAGTTATTACTCCACTAGTAGTTCATTAATTGGTCAGTTTGGTAATTAGCTAGTCACTTTCAGTCTTTGTTAATTAGACAATTAGTAAGTCACTTTGTTAAATTAATTAGTTTTGATTGATTGATAATATAATTGATCATCCCCAAAAGGGGGATGTTAATTAGTTATTTTGTCGATTAGTTACTGTTAAATATATTTAGTTACTTTGTCAATTAGTTACTTTGTAAATTAGTTATTTTGTTAATAAGTTACTTTGTTAATTAGTTAATGAATTCAACAAACTTTACTTCCAAAGATGGTCAGCATTTTCCTCGCTTTGTTTTTGAAGAACACCTTTCAAACTTCCATCTGGTAAAACAGTCACTGCTTCAAGCAAATATGTTTTCAGTTTGTCAAAACTGAACTTGACTGACCCTGAAAACATGGATAGTAATACATTATCCAAAATCCAAGAGTCATTGGGTTTCAAAAACATGTGCATGTCACTGTATATTAAAAAACATTTTAAAACATCCATACCTCCCCCATGGAAGAAACTGAAAGTTATTAAAGTCCTCCCCTACCCTTTTTGGATGTCCTAATGCACTTACTATTATCAGAAACAAATTCCCCCTCCCCCTCCAAACAGCAGAGGGGGGAGGGGAGTGTGCAAGGGTTTTGAAAACTCAAGTACATCACTGTGCAAAATTAATCCTTGAGTACTGAGTAGCCATTGCCAGTAAATCTTTCAAGTGTGTTTAATATCCTAGACAGTTTCCGTTGTTTTTAATTCTGTTGGTAGACTTGGTAGCATATCTTTGAATGATGAAACTTGTAAAGGAAAATTGATGGAAAAAAACTTGTTTGTCATACACACAAGCAAGTAAACTCATCAGAGAAAACTTGCTTGTCTGTGTGAGGGTTATATGTATTGTTTGGTGGCAAATACATAACATTTTGCATTTATATTTGCTTCCAAAGTGTCAACATACATTCGAAGTTCATGTGATAAAATATATCGTATAGCACTATATGTTAACTAAAACCTATTGAATTATATTATTGATAACATTCCAATGAAGCGTAATAATCATCAAATAATCAAGAAGTACCTCGATTGATTTCTTTTGCCAAAAGCTGTAAAAACCTTTCGTGATCAGCCATCACTACCAAATTATCAATCGAATGTAACAAAATCACAACACGTGGTGAACCAAAACAACGTTGCAGCGGTCTATAGCATTAATGATGCAATCAATCAATACATGTCACATGATCGTTTATCATTTAGATCTGTGATTTACATCATCAATGGCCGAAATCCGTGATCGCTTTGTCGAGTGTTTAACAAAATCTGTTCAATATTTTCCAGCGGATTGCCGAGTTCCTGACTATATATTACCACAAATACATTAACAAAGGTATGCTTCATCAAATATAATCGAAATCTATTAGGTAATGATGATATTTTTGACGATAAATTATATCGATTATAAACGGTGTGTTGAAATTTTGCGCAGCAAGCCGATCAAAAATCGCGACAATTTATTTGCTTCCAAACTGCTCAGGATTTCAAACAGAACAGTAGGGTTATAGTCGTGATAGATATGCATATGTTTTTGTGCTTTTTGGGCAAGTATAGCAGCTATTTCGGATTGTTTTTCGATTAAAAATATGGTATATTGTATCGTTCATTTTAATACAATATATCGCTTGCAAACTGTGATCGTGAATCGCTACCAAACACGTGTTCAGGGCTTCCACTAACCAAAAATATTTTCCTTTTGTATTGTTTAAAAATTTCATTATTAAAGTACACATTTCAATGACAGATAGCTTTTTACACACATGTTATGTTTAAACTTGCTTTATTTATACTGTATAACTATTATCAGTTCCAAAGTGTTCTCCCTAGATGTAGGGATCATGGCACAGAATAGAGCCCAACTTCTTGGTTTCTCCTATGATTTTGGTGTAACCGTAATTCGTCATCAAAATGCTGACACCATGGTCACAGAATATTACACAGAAGTCCTTCTCCATTGTTTTTAGCGTAAGCTCCATTCGTCATGATTTGTCACTCAGCAAGTACCGTAAACAGAAGCAGTCCCCCCTGGGAATACTAAAAATGGCACACGTCCAGAGGGGTGACTACTTCTGTTTATGGTACTTGCCGAGTGACAAATCATGACGAATAACGCTTATGCAAAAAACAATGGAGATGGACTTCTGTGTAGTATTCTGTGCCATGGTCCTAGGCGGTGCACTTATGAGAGCCATTCACCCCCCTGATAATATTCAAAATAGCAAACATCCAGGGGGGAATGCCCCTCATACACTGGCTAGGACCATGATGTCAGCATTTTGATGACAAATCATGGCGTGGCAGCGGTTATTCTTTTTTTGGCCGAGTCGACCATCGGTGCGTCTTTATTCTGTGATCATGGTTTGTTGGGTCACTGTGCACCGATCTGTATGTGGTTCAGTGTTGCCACAAGAACCTGGAGTGTGTGGTATAGTCAAACTGCATGCAACCAAGATAATAATAACCATAACCATTATAATTAGGCAACTGGATATTGCAGGAATCAATCTGCAAGCACAGAAATGAAAGGTAGCCCTGTACCCAGGCACTTTGTTGTGGAAAGAGTGAAAGGCCTTAACCAGTGTACAGAGATGTGAACCCTAAGTAACAAAAATGCGGGTGATATATAATTTTTGACATGACGTCATTTTTTGTTGTTGAGAAAATTGATTGGTGATTTATAAAAGCCTTGCTTAGCCCTTGATATTTCTAACTTCCGTAGATATGTATATTCTTGTTTATGACAAAACAGATGTATACAAACGTCTTAAGAGTTAAGTCTAGTTGAAGTAGATGTGCGCATGCATACACTCTACCAACCAAAAACAGAACAACGAATCAAGAATCAGAAGACAGAATCACAGAATGCGGGTGAATTGCTATAAAATTTGCTAATGCGGGTGATTTTATGTGCCAATTTTTCTGCGTGTGATGATTCCAAAATGCAGGTGTCACCCACTCAATGCGGGTGAGTTCACATACCTGAGTGTATAGGACTGTACCTCCCCCCTCCCCAAGGGCAGATTTTCATTTATTAAAAGGAGGGGTGGAAAACATTCTAGTGGGGTGCAAGCGGCGGTCACTGAGCGAGCTTCGGCAGGGGTTGGGTGTTAGGGTTAAAGACTTTCACACAATTTAATAGGAGGGGTGAAGTAAAATTTTGGTGGGGTTGGACACTTTATAAGAGGGGTTAGAGAGATTCTAGATGGGTTTAACCCCCCCCCCCCAGTAAATCCGCTCATGCCTTACCCAGCATTCCTTCACAGTCTAATTCATATTTCCCCTTTTTTTCAAATTCCTAGTTTATTTTATTACGAATGATGGCTTCTCCAGTTTGCATTAAGCTTCACAATATCAAAATGGTTAAAATCAAATATGAGGGCAAGTTGTATGAGGTAGCGACATCAAGCTTCGACAATCTCCTCAGCGACTTCCAGAAACACAAACCTGAAGTCAAACAGCTTCTTTATGCTCGACCGCTTGTGGCAGAAGACTTTGAAAACCTGACTGAGGAGAGTGTTGTGTATGCAAGTGGCGATACAATGTCTATTACAGAAGGGAGCTTACAAGAAAACTCTGAGACGTTTTACACTGGGTTACCACAGCTGGAATACCGGAACACATCGGTCAATCAAAATGGCCATTGCATGGCAGGCATGGCCACAACCCTACTCCAACCCGATGCCTCCAAATTACGCTCTGATCTTTCAATGGTTGATAGCTTTTGTTCACCCCCCTCAGTATTCATAGAGGCACCCCCCGAGACGGATCCCATCGACACTGTGGATGTCGCAAGACGAGTGCGTGAGGTTCTTGAAAGACACAAGATAAGTCAGACACTTTTCTCAAAATATGTGATCAAACGCTCTCAGGGGACGACCAGTGACCTGCTACGCTGTCCTAAACAGTGGGAACGCATGAGTGAGGAGGGCAGAGTACCGTACCGCCGGATGAAGGCGTGGCTGGAAGGTGATCTGCAACATAATTTGCAAGTTTTACTTCGGATCAAGCAAGGTATTTATAACCATGTGTACAACCACACCCCACTTTGTTCTCTCTATGACACAAGGAAAAAATATGGTGTGTATTTATTTTCAAGCATGTCTAATAATAATAATTAATTATATCTTTATAGGTCTTGATATCCCAGCGCTTCCTCCAAAGTGCAATCGAACAAAATTCACAGATGAACAAAAGGAAGCATTGGAATCATTTCTCTCCCAAAACCCACGTTTGACACATGACACTTTGGAGCAGTTTGCACATGAACAGAACTTGACTATTTCTGCAGTCAGAAACTGGGTGAATAACCGCAAGCAACGCATGAAACGTGGCTCATCAACAGGGTTTGAAGAAAGTCCTGGAAAGTACCCAAGAAGTGATGGCTCTGACGATTTGGACGATGGTGGTTTTCAAACAAGACCGCAGGATTTTGAATCTTCGGGTTTTCATGCTGTCGAAACAGAGGGAGTTCCAACCATGGTGAACTCGGCACCGTACGAACAAGGCCGGGTACCTCAGACCAGTCAGACGGTTGGTACGGAGTTTGAGGCAACTAGAGTGACTACAGAGTTTGACGAGTCAAGCTTCAATGGAGTCGGTAGTACTTCTGTTGCTGACGTTTCTGCAATGACCACGCCGCTCAAACAGGAAAATGACGGGAAAAAACAGTGTGAATATGATAGTTCAACCAATGTTACTGTGGAGTGTTTGGGCACTGATTAAATACTGAGGGACCTGTTGTTAATAATAGGATGGGGGGGGGGGGGAGATGAATGGGTGCCCTCCCCTTGACAAGTAAAATCATCTGGCATTAGACCTTTTTACTAAGTCTGAAGTCTTTTAATAACAATACGACAAAGTTTAAACAGTGAAATCGGAGTGGGGGCTGAATTAGCAGATGTAAAATTTGGGGATGACTCTCTAATAAACACCTTGTCATGTTGGGAAACTCTCAGCCACTCACTCCCCCCCCTCCCACACACACACTAACTGCTCCCTAACAGCCAAGTTCATTAGAACACAAGACTTTATTACTGTGTGTCTACATATTACGTGTCTATAGTTTATTTTATATGGAACATATTAGCATTATAATATATGGAGTTTTTCGGACATATCGAAATGAAGATAAGATATCTGGTAAAAGTCAAAAAGTTAAATGTCTGTTGAAAGATATATTTTAAGTTAAATGTTTGTTGCATCTATAGCAAGATAACACAACAGGTGATTAATATTCTAATTTAAAATCCATTTCACTTGAGCCTTGCCCAACAACTGCACTAACAAAATGGTGGGCTTCCATTGCAATGCTTATTACATGACCACTGCTCACATCTAGAGTATGCTCATACCCTCCTTTATCAGATCTGTACGACCTTTGATAAATAACCTCTTCTGACGACCCAATGTGACTGACCATCCCCTCAATATGAGCTGTAAACGCACCAGAACGAACCAATGACAATTTGATATGACCAGAATTTTGAATCTTCAAAATCAACACTTCAGGAGTCTCCACACGGATCTTGAATGTTTCACTCAGGTCACCGGACACTTGCATGATGTTTTTACGGACATTGTTTTTATGTTTCAAACCTTTAATACCTTCATCAAATGCTTTTCCAATCATTCCAACTGTTGCGGCTGCAGCCATGACAACTGAGACCATTCTACAAATATTTACAAGAAAAGTTTTACACATATGTTCAATAGGATTTATTTTGGTATTTGCTATAATCCTAAAAATTTGAACACACTTTCATCTTGCGTTTAACGTCTCAGTGTAAAAAATTTACTATCGTCAGTCATAAATATAAAACAGTCTGTCTGCTCGTATCATTAGTTACTAGATTCATAGATTGGTGAATTTAAATAGCACCTGAAGTCTAGGGATGAAGGGGATCTTGTTATTATGCATTTTATACACGTTAAATAAACGCCTAAATCCAATTTATACATAATCTATGTCTCTGTAAAGTATAAATTCCAAAGATACTGAATAATTGCTGAAATTGCAACATTTATGTAACGGCCTGTAACTACCGTATTACAAATATCAAAACACACAAGCTGCAAGGTATTCGGTTGAATCTTACCAGATTTCTTCACTTTCTTGGCGAGTTTTATATACACAGTAATGCACTGCACAAGTCGAAGATGCGCTTGTGAAAGCGTTGGGTGGTTTTTGTCGCTTAAAACTAACACAATCCTGAGAAAACAAGATACATTATTTATTTCACTGGAACTGTGTACGGGAAATTCCCAGAGGGTAATTCCTGTGAAAATGCGCATAATCGCATTTCCTGGAAAGAAAAGTGAAAGTGGAAATCACCCTCCTCCCCTCAGTATCTCTATGGTTTTAGCCTGCGAATGGGTGTACCGAGTATGAATGAGAGACAGCGGAATGACGGATTTGCGGGAAACGGATGAAAGGTTGTAAGTACAAATGAGTACAAATTCAATTAAATAAGTGAACCAGATTTACTGAAATGCTGATTAATATTCTCTCTCACTTAATGATAATTTTTGTATATTTTCATATCAAATCGCTCTAGTATTAGCATAGACAATCCTATTGTCTATGTCTATCTAATTGTCTATGGTATTAGCTACAAAATGACAGTTTTACAGCTTTATGAGATTGGATTAATCCAATGCCAAGTTGCCAGTTAATTCGCGTAATGTCGATATATTAAAATCGTTTGTATATGCGATCACAATTATTTTAATAGATGGTTTGGAGACTCGATGAAAGTACAATATAACTCATTAACTATGTTATTGTCCAGCTTTATGCAAGAATTTGGTCCTATCTCGTCACGTGTGTATTGTATTTTCGCTCAAATAACCAATAACAAGTTCAATACACACGTGACGAGAATAGGCCCAAATAAAATACAATACACACGTGACGAGATAGGCCCAAATAAAATACAATACACACGTGACGAGAATAGGCCCAAATAAAATACAATACACACGTGACGAGAATAGGCCCAAATAAAATACAATACACACGTGACGAGATAGGCCCAAATTCTTGCATAAACCGAAACCAACATAGTTAATGAGTTATATTGTACTTTCATCGAGTCTCCAAACCATGTATTCTGTGATGCGATTCAGCGCCGTTAATGCCTAATATTATGTTATATAAGGAGATTGCTTGTGACGTGCAAGACGACGCGCTTATATTTAGAAAACTTTAAATTCAGAACAATGTTTCCTGGAAATATGGCTACTCCGAAAACAATGTTTCCTAGAGATATGGCTACGAAATTATGTTTCCTAGAAATATCGCTACGAAATAATGTTTCCTAATTTCCCCAAATTCAGGAAGCATGGCCAGGAGGCATGTTTCCGCAAGAATTACAGAATACTGATTCAAGTTAATATTCCCTAACTTTCCAGCTAATATTCCTTAATTTTTTAGCTAGTATTCCCTACTTATTGACCCGGTATTCCTTAACTCCAGACATCGACGGAGTATTTTCCTTTGTTATGAAGGTTCTTAATAAATTCTTCGGCATCATTCTCGCTCTTCTCTCCGTGTTTGTGGACGACATGAACCAAGGCATCGTGAACGTCTTTCGCCATGTGTCGAGCGTCCCTAGAAAACAACTTTGCTTAGTGCATACCAGTAAAATATATTTCCCTTTTACTCGGGAATAATGTCAAGTAATTAACTAACCTGATGTTCAGGCCCTAATTTGAAATAGGGCCTGACACAAAACCTGTCTAGACCGTGGGACGCCCACATGTTATTTTTAGACACAACATGCAATATGATTGACAAGTGTTATACAAAAAAATTATATTCGTTACACAAAAAAATTATATTCTCATGAACATGTCCGCAGAGTGTGCATTTTGCTTTATAATTAAACTTAAAAATTCAAGGTACTTTTATATAAATAAGATTCAGACGGCTAGACTGCCAAGCTTTCTCAAGGTCTCAACTTGCTGGACGCGGATATTAGGGATATACTTTATTAAAACGGGCTAACAACAGCAACAATGAAATTCTCAATCGTACCACGAAGAAGGCGATGTAGCTCAGAAAACAACGCCGGTAGGACCTGATATTAAAAATAAGACTTTTGCCGGCGAAGCCAGTTGGCAGAACATCTTGGCTGTCAACAACAAGCTTTCGAATACATGATTTAGTTTGGCTGTTCTTTCGGCGTCGTGTGTCCAAAATTCGTCCAAAATTTTGATACAGCCCTTTCAAAATACTGTTTGTTTGATTTATTTTCTGCCATAAATCACAAAAGAAAAAGAAATTCGAAGAAATCGATAATGGAATTTGTACGTGCGTTTGACCTTTATATTAATTGTCGCCTTGACCGAGCTATTTTTAAAACTGTTGTTTATGTAAACTTGCAACCAATCAAAATCCTTCATGATGCTGATCAACCAATCAGATTTCCCGTCCACCAGATGGACGGGAATCCCACACTTTAGATAGGTTTTGTGTCAGGCCCTATTCTGTGATTAGGGCCTGAACTTCAGGTTATGGAAATGGCGTCATTTTCACTCAAAATCCGCCATGTTTTTGGCTTCACTTCGTTGACTGAACGAAGTATAGGAGCAGGTCCTCCAGTTATTATACAGCTCAGTGATTTCGACGCATTATAAAACATTTTTAAAGTTTTTAATGTTTTTTAAAATCGCAAGCAGGGCTCTCACTTCCAGCTACAGTCATTTCCTTAAATTTACACTGAAATTTCCTTAGAATTGAAAAAATTTCCTTAAAACCGGAAGTGGCAATAAAATTGGCGAGAAATCACAAAATATTGTTGTTTTCGATTTAGAAGTTTTTAGAAATATAAAAAGGCAGTTGACTTTGACGTTGAATTCATGTTAACTTGTTTTGTTTACGCGCAGGACACGCGTGTCCCAAGAGAAATAAATGTGTTATAACGATAGTGATTTGCTTTTCTGGAAAAAAATACAAAATAAAGTGTTGTTTGGATGTAATCTTTTACGAATGTAAGTGATTATGTAAAATATTATGAATGTCAAAGAATTTCCTTAAAATTTCCTTAAAAAATTCGTTTCCTTAAAAATTTCCCTAAACTGGTTCAAATTTCCTCAGTTTAAGGAAATTTCCTTAAAAGTGAGAACGCTGATCGCAAGCTTCGCTCCTCGCCCGAAGATTTCAAACTGAATATATAATAAGGGTCAAAAGCCTACTTAGGGGGTGGGGTACATTGACACGGCCACAAGGTATATTGACACGTCCATTTTGTTCGATTTATGGCAGGCCTCTCTCCCAGAAAATTTTTTTTTCAAACCCATTCGCAGGCTAGAACCCATAGAGAGGCCTGCGGAGGAGGCTAGAAGCTCTATAACAATTTGAGTTATTTGGTCTACATATCTTATACAATTTGCTCTCATTGGCTGTTTTATTAACTTCAAAAACTAAAAAATCGGGTCGCGTTGTCGAATCGCGTCCGGTGTCTCTGGATCTCAAGACATATACTTGAACATGGTACACGACTTGAATTATTTGACAGTTTTCATGTTAATTAACACTTGGATGCCGACGATACAATATCGTCAGAGCTACTGAAAGATGAGTAGAAATATATGTAAATGTACGCCAATTTTGGAAATATAAAAGCGCAAAAGTTCCAAATACACCTTTTTAGTATAAACCTGTTTGGTTCAAATTTGCGAATTCTGAGCAATTACTAGTCTATGTAAACAAATGTACGCTATATGTATGGCAAAGTTTGTGTTTGTACAAAGGACAAGTCCGGCGTACACACTTCACATTCCAGTGTTGGACAAGATGGTTGGGCATATAAATGCTCACGAAATTTCTTATGAATTGCCGATAAACCTGCACTGTTAATTGGGAACGCCATGCATGAATAACTTTAAGAAAACAAAGTGCCTGGCATATTTTTATAACGTTTCGCTTGATTGACATATATATGTTCAAATTTTGAACATTGTATAAACAAAACAGAAAATTCTACAATGTCAATCCAATATAAAATTCTGTTTTGCCAAAAAAATTAAATTCGAAGAAAACGAAATTTTTCTTACAGAATATGGCTTTAGACATTTAGTATTTTTCTTCTGCACATATATATCAAAACACGTGCATGCATGGAAAAAATTGGAGTCCTAGCGACACGAAGCATCGAATAATTTTCACCCTGACAGCGCCCTGACTAAAGCCCGGGACAGATGTGTAATATATTTTAGACTGCTCAATTAGATGTATTATATTCCCTAGTAAGACTTTCTCATAACTTATCAATTCGAATCTAGACTCTAGTTCATTAGTTCGATTCTTCAACGTAAAAATCCCCAAAACAACAACCTACTGTCTTATAGTCCACGCCCCTATGACGCGTACGTAATGTCCTATTTATAAATGTCTATTAATAAACAATATCTCACACTCCCCCCTTGACCAGTCACAACTGGTCAATCATGGACTGTCTTTTCAAGTCTGCGTTTATTGCCGCTATTCTCCTTTGTTTTGTTGGTTTTTCTTCTTTCTGAATGTCTGCATCTTGTTTTGACTCCTTACTGTCCTCGTTTTTTCTTTCTTCCTTGATCTCTAATGGCACAAGTTTTTGAATTGGACGTCGTAATACGATTGGTTTCCCTTTCTTATTCAACGCTCGTAACTTTACACCTCGTACTTCACCGTCTTTACTTTTAAGCAAAGCTTCAACTCTACCGATCTTCCATTGACTCCTAGGTAGACCTTCTCCTTGCACAAGAACTACTTCCCCAACTTCTACTTCCCGAACCGTATTGTTGGTATATGTAATATTTCGATGAAATTTCCGTAGATCAGCTAAGTACTCCTTGTTCCATCTCTTCCAGAAGTGCTGCAACAATTGACTCAAGTATCGTTGTCTCCGTACAATTGCATTACTATCTTCCTCACTGTCACTAAATTCCTCTGGATCTGGTAATGTTGATATCCGCCTTCCGATTACGAGATGTGATGGTGTCAATGGTTCTCCATCAGACAATTCCGAATATACGTAAGTCAATGGGCGAGAATTGAGTGATCCCTCAACTTCTGTCAACACCGTGGTTAACTCTTCAAATGTTAATCTCGCATTTCCGAGTATTTTACGTAGACTCCTCTTAACTAACTGTACCATACGTTCATAGTATCCACCCCACCATGGGACACGTTCCAATATGAAGTTCCATTTGATCCTAACAGTTGTCAAGAACTCTTCCAGTTTCTTATCTTTGAACAATTCCGCAAGTTCCTTATCTGCCTTTTTAAAGGTCTTAGCGTTATCCGATGTAATGGATACTGGAGTTCCTCTCCTTGCTATAAAACGTCTTAAACATCGAGTAAAAGCTGTAGTTGATAAGTCATGTACTAGTTCCAAATGTAGAGCTCTTGAGGTAGAACATGTGAATAGACATATATATGTCTTCTTCATCTGCTTTTTAGGGTCGCTAGTTTTTACAAACAAAGGTCCAGCAAAATCGACCCCCACATGTGTAAAGGCTGCTGTTTCCTTGACTCTATGTTCTGGTAAACTGGCTTGTTTAACCGGTTTAAATGGTACACTATGGACTTTCCTACACTTTACACATCGGTTAAGAATGTATCTCACCAATTGACGACCTTTTGGAATCCAATATTTACTCCTTAACTCTGTTAGTGTCTCTTTTATTCCTCCATGTTTGACTTTCTTGTGACAGGACTCCACGATCAATTGAGAAATGCTGTGATCTCTCGGCAAGAGAATTGGGCTCCTTGTTTCCACGTCAGTAGATGCATTTTCCATTCTTCCTTTACATCTGATAATGTGATCTTCATCGGCATAAAGTCCGAGTTGGTTGGTCAGATCTTGGTAATTCTTCTGTTTCTTCACATGTTCCTGTATTTCTCTGATCCAAATTTTCTCTGCATCATCAATTTCCTCAATAGTGAGTGTATTTGGCTTTAACAATGGATCAATTTTACCACAGGCTTTCTTCGTTTTGAGATTTCTAATGAATCTCTTAACCCACGCTGTAACACGAAACAACTTGGTTACGCTACTGTAAGACTTGTGGTCTATTATCTCTGAGATTTTTGTTGAACCGACTGTTTCTGGTGGATGTGTTTCACTAACATTTGTCACATTAACCACTGTGGTATTCCCCTTGGTAGGTAATTTAACGCGACATTCTTTCATGCACTCTTCGGAGAGTTCTACATCACTTTGTGAAAACTCACGATTTGGGTATGCAGAGGGATCAAGTGTTAACCATTGCGGGCCTTTCCACCATAAATCATTTTGTGCTAGTTCTGAGGCCTTCTGTCCACGAGAACCAATATTCGCTGGGTTTTCTAAACCTGGGCAAAATCTCCAAGTTTCTGAATCAGTTAATCGTAGAATTTCGTCGATTCTGTTTTGTACAAATTGTTTATAATCCTTCTTACCCTTAATCCAGTGAAGGACAGTGGAGCTGTCCGTCCAACAAGTGGTCTCCGTGATGTTAAAGATTTTGCTTAGAGTCTCTTTAACAACTGACATGAGACGTGCTAATATCAATGCTGCTATTAACTGAAGTCGAGGGATAGACATTGGTGCTAATGGGGTGACTCTACTTTTCGAGGCAACAAGATTTGTTGTGCGGCCACTGTCTGTTTCCATGCATATATAAATGACAGCACAACAAGCTTTTTGGGAAGCATCTCCAAATCCGTGAAGAGTCACACTTTCAGGATGCCTCTCCTCTGCCAAAAAGTAATATCTAGGTACAACTATAGAACTCACCGTCTCTAAATCATCAATCCATTTCTCGAGCACCTTCTGATTGGATTGTGATATGACTGCATCCCATTCATACTTAGCTGCACACAATTCTTGTAGAAGCATTCTCAGCAAGACAGTAACTGACGAGCGAAGTCCGAGTGGATCAAACAGTTTTGCTGCTATCTTTAAAACATTCCGTTTTGACGGCTCTAAATTTCTTGCAAATTGAACAACTTTTGTTAACTTTAAAACAAAAGTATCACTGTCAGTATCCCAATTCATCCCAAGTACCTTATGTTCCTTCGGGGTTTCTATTTCTTCCAGCCCGCCAATCGACTCTTTAGCATATGAACTTTCACCGGTGTTGTTCAAATGCTCTGTGGTTAGTGACTTTAATACTTCCTCATCATTCTGAATCTGAGCCATCAATACTGGACTATTGGTAGCCCATTTCCGCAGATTAAAATTGCCCGCTGCGAAACAAGATTTCATCTGTCGATACATTATATATGCATCATCTGTGGATTCTCCTCCTCCTGACCAATCATCAACGTAAAGCTCTGAAAGAATCCTTTCTGCAAAGCTAGGGTCATCATAATAGTAATTCGTAATGTGGTGACGTAATGTTGCGTTCAGGAGAAATGGAGAGCACTTCATGCCAAAAATAACCCTACAGAAGCGGTAGACTTCAACATATGGATTTTCCTTGTTTATGTCATCAATCCACAAGAAACGCATCATGTCCTTTTGTTCCTCATCAATAGCAATATTGAGAAATGCCTTCTCAATATCTGCAACCATTCCAATTCTTCGTCCTCGAAAACCCAAAAGAACCTTTAGAATATCTGTAGCCAGAGATGGTCCTGTGTGAACGCAATCATTCAGAGATGGGCACTTTGGTTTAACTTTCGCACTGGCATCGTAAACAACTCGCACCTTTGTAGTGGTTGCATCTTTTCGTACCACGGCTTGGTGTGGGAGATAGTGTGTAGTGCCTGGTACTGAGTCTTCATTTTGATCTTCAACTTTTTCAACAATTCCTTGACTTAATTGTTCTTTAAATATCTGGTTGTATTCCTCAAATAGACTGGGTTCTTGCCTTAAACGTTTCACTTGCGAGTCTAATCGTGCTAGACTTAAATCATAATTGTCCGGTAAAATATCATGTTTTTCTTTCAAGGGTAATTTAACGTGATATCTACCCTTCTCAAAAGATACGTTTCTTTCAAATGACTCATGCACCGTGTGGTTTGGTGTCGTTTACCATCCACCTAATGCTAATGATGATGAAATGCTCCAATTTCTCTCCACATCACTGATTACTATTGAAAGCACTTATCCTGGCTGCGGGTTTATTCTTGCAGGCGACTTTAATCGGTTAAAATGCAATCGGATATTAACACAGTTCAGTTGCAAACAGATTGTTAACGTTTCCACAAGGGCCAACCAGACTTTGGATCTAATAATAACCAACTTACATTCGTTTTATGATAAGAACTCTGTCCAAAAATTTCCGCCATTTGGTCTTTCAGATCATAATGTTGTGATTGTCAATCCTTGCAAAAGAGAACCCAAGTCATGCAGTAGAAGAATTATCTCTAGTAGAGATTTACGATCTAGTAAAAGGCATGAGCTTGGAAGATACCTTACATCTATCGATTGGTCCTCTCTGAATCATTTTGACACATGCGAAATGAAACTCCAGTATTTCGAAGAGTTAGTACGTCTCGGTATTAGCACCATTATGCCAATAAAGAAAACGGCTTTGCATGTACACGATCCTCCATGGATTACTGCAGAATTTAAAGAGCTTATAAGGAAGCGTCAAGCTGCCTTCTGCAGTGGAAATACCTTTCAGTTCAAGTATTACCGGAATCGGGTTAACCGCGAGCGAAAGACATGCCGGGCGAAATTCTACTCTTCAAAAGTAAAGAATCTTAAATCGACCAAACCGAAGAGATGGTGGAAGGAGGTGAAGCAGATTGCTGGTATGGTACCTACAACCGGCTCCGATGACCTATGTAGTCAACTTCATTTAGACGATATCGAGAATATGCAACGTCCTGACATTGCGAATTTAATTAATAACGCCTTTTTGGAGCCCATGAACTCCTTCAATCCACTGTCAACCCTTCCCCCCTTTGATAATTATTCCTCTTTTCAAGTGAACAAATTGGAAGTCTTTCATTTATTGAAAGCAATTAATCGTGGAAAGGCGTCAGGTCCTGACGAAATTCCCAATTGGGCTCTTAAGGAATATGCTGAAATCCTTGCACAGCCAGTATGCGCTGTGCTAAACAGCAGCTATGCCGAACAACAACTACCTAAATCTTGGAAGCTTGCCAACATTGTGCCCCTCATAAAAACTAAGCCCGTTAGCGACATTTGTAAGCAGTTACGACCAATTTCACTTACTGCCGCTATTTCGAAAATCGCCGAGGACTGTGTTGTTAAAAAATACATTGCTCCAGCTATCATGAGTATAATCGATCCAAGTCAATATGGAGTAATACCAAGTAGTTCAACTACTCTCGCTGTTATATCTATGATCCATGAATGGTCGCAAGTTACTGATGGCACTGGCTCTGCTGTCAGAGTCATCCTGTTCGATTATAGAAAAGCATTCGACCTTATCGATCATGCTTTACTGGCTGATAAAATTTCCAATTTAGCTATTCCACGTGCGGTTGCTCGCTGGACAATCGATTTTTTGATGAATCGAAAGCAGAGAGTGAAATTATCCAATGACTGTTATTCGGAGTGGGGAGATGTACTTTCCGGTATCCCTCAAGGTACAAAATTAGGGCCCTGGCTATTTTGTTTAATGATAAACGATCTTGATATTTGTGATATATCGAGGTGGAAGTTTGTTGATGACACAACAGTTGCTGAAGTAGTTAGTAAGGACACAGAGAGCCGTGTTCAAGTCGCAGTTGATGTTGTGGAAGATTGGTCGAAGGCAAATGGGCTATCTCTTAACACTGAGAAATGTAAAGAACTGAGAATCGATTTTAAAAGAATTAAACAACATTTTGATCCTGTACTGGTGGGTGGAGAAGCATTGCCTATAGTTGAGAGTGCAAAAATATTGGGTCTTGTTATGACAGGCACACTTCAGTGGAAAGATAACATCAGAGAGAGTATAAAGAAAGCTAATAAACGCCTCTATTTTATAGTATTATTGAAACGGGCAAGCGTAAATGTCAATGATGTCTTGAACTTTTATTGTACAGTGATCAGGCCTGTGCTCGAGTATTGTGCGCAAGCCTTCCATCATTCCATCCCAAAGTATTTGGCAGACGAACTTGAGACTGTCCAGAAACGTGTGCTAAAAATTTTATCTCCTGAAATGACATATTGTGAGGCCCTTGAGTATTTTAGACTGCCTACTCTATTTCAAAGAAGAGAGGACATGTGTGACAAACTCTTTACGAGTATCATCAAGGATCCAATGCATAAACTTCATCATCTGCTGCCCCCGAAGAACGAGACTGATTATTCTTTCAGGACGAATCGGTATTTTAATATGTACGTTACACGCACGAACCGCTTTTATAACTCTTTTATCCCTGCTATGTGTAGGAAGTTTGTAGGATAGATTTTATGCTTATTTTAATCGAATTTTGATCGTGGGTGGGTTTTTATAATATTGTATTAATAATATATTTATATGTAGTGCATGTGATAATATGTAATCCACGCAATTCAGCTTCTGGCTGCAATGTGGTTTCAATTTAATAATAATAATAATAATAAAAAAAAAACCGTCTCTTTGTCTGTTATACCAATTGACTCTAAATCCCACAGACGATGTAATAACTCCTCAGGTTGTTTTTCATTCTCCACACTTGGCAATTCGGCTGCTACTCTCAACACATGAGTTGAAACAAAGTTCACAGAAGACAGAGTAGTTTTCTTTCTTGATGGCATTGGGCCTGACAAAACCCATCCCAGGATTGTTTCGCTTGCGATTGGACTATTGGCATTCTCCCCCCGTCTTATCTTGCCAGTGAAAAATTTACCGATTTGATCAGCTCCAATTAATAAATCTATCTCTGCTACACCGTCCCCTTCATTATTATCAGCTAAGTTTAAGTCACTCAAATGTTTGTACTCTACTTGGGCTCGGTCAATTTCTTGATTTCCTAGCGGTGCACAAATCACTGGCACGACAAATGCTTCTACTTGTGTTCTAGTTCTACCAGTAATGTCCCCAACTGCTAAGTTCACTGTCTCACAAGAACCAGTTAGTTCAGTTTCGCATTCTCCGAATGTTTTTATTCGTAAAGATTCTGTACTTCCTGTGGGCAATTGCAACTTATTTCGCACTCGTTGGGTTAAATAACTTCTCTGGCTGCCCGAATAAAAAATAACTCTTACCTCAGTGCCAGTGGTCAATTTCTTGTTTCCAACGCCAACTTTCGCCTTGGCTGTTTGTAATGAGACTGAATCTTGTAAACATGCGTGATAATTTCTGGTCTCTTTCGTGTTTCCTGTGTCTTTCGTGTCCCTTAATTGTGTTGTTTGTTCTTTAGCTAGACTATCTTGTACATTTCCTAATTGCTGTCTGGAATTTGATTCTTGTCTCGTTGCTAAGGACTGTCTCGAATTTGTTGCTAAGGACTGTCTCGAATTATTATTACACAGACTAACATGATGCTTTCCCGAGCAATATTTGCACATATACCTTGATTCGCAATCCCGAGCAATATGATTTCGTTTCAGACACAAAAAACATCGTCCTTGCTTTCGTAAGATCTGTTTTCTTGCTTCGATATCCGTAACAACAAAACAACTAGCTGACGTATGTTCTTTTTGACAAAACGAACAGTTAATAGTTGTCTTACTCGTCATTAGCGCTGCTGCCGTAAATGGCGTGTTCGAATATTTTCTCCCTCCTCGTTGTTCGTTGAAATTTCGACCGTCTCTAAAAGATAAAGCTTGAATTCCTTCGCATCTTTCCCGGTTTTCCAATTCCTCGCGAAAATTCTCAAGTAACGTATTCAAATTCCATGATTCGCCTGTCATTTTGCGACCGAGTAAAATGCGTATTTCGTCGGGTATTTTGCCGATTAAAATCGGTAATAACAACGCCCCGTATTCCGTGTCTGGCACGTCTAACGATTTTAGCCCTCTCACGTGTGCTTCGATTTGATCATAAAGACGCCGTAAACCTTTAGTATCGGTAGATGAACGTAATTGTGGGAGTTTTAATAAACTATCCATATGGCTACTAATGACAACTTGCTTGTCTCCGAATCTTTGCTGTAATAGTTCAATCGCAGTTTCATAGTTACTCTCTGTCAACGATAAACCCTCGATCGTGGCTGCTGCAGACTTTTCCAGTAAACTTTTTAAGTAATTGAATTTATCCACGTCGGATAACCCCGGATTCTCATGTATTGCGCACTTAAAACTGTCCCAAAATGCTTGCCATTCGCATGGCTGTCCATCAAATTGTTTTAGAGTAAGTTTTGGCAACTTCGCATGTTTTATTGTCGATTGATAATGTCCTGGTGTAGATAGTTGCTGTGAATCGTTCATACTCATAGACATAGTTTCATTCATCGGTTTGGCCTCGAGCACGCTGTCGATATTTACAATCATTTCGTGAACACTCTCGCGATATTTTCCTGCTTCTTCGATCTCAGTAGATATTTC